CCCCCCTTTCTCTCCCTCCCAGTCCCCCCTGACCCCTGCACCTGCGTCTCCACCTCACTTATTCTCTCCTTTTGCTTTGACTAAACAGATGGTCCACTCCTAAGGGTAATGTTTTAGATGTTTTTCTTTGGTGCTGGGGATGCAAGCAGGGACTTGTGCATGCTGAGCACGTGCCCTACAAACCCCCTGGTAGAAATTCTCTGATTGTAGAAATCAAGTGGCTTAAACTGGATCAGCCCAGGTGGCTACATTCCTCGTTAGAGTAAGCCTGAGAGAGTCGGGCTGGGACAGCGGTCACCTCACCATCCGCTGTACATGCAAAGTGTACTAAGTTGAATAGGGCATCAAGGGCTCTTGAGGGCTAGGCCTTTGGACCCCTCACATCAACCCTCACCTTGGCTTCTGCCCAGCCTCTAGCTGTTTTTTCCCTGGGCCCCATGGATGGTTCACTGGAGGCTGGAGGTCTACCTTTCTATACACACATCCCACATGGAGGTCAGAGGGCAGCTGGCAGGAGTCAGCATGTCCACCATGTGGATACCAGGAAGCAAACTCAGCTCATGGAAATCCTGCTTCAGCCTCCAAATGCTGGACATAGGAGTGTGAGCCACCAAGCCTGGTTTATTGCTGCTTAAGACAGTGTCCTGTTATGTAGCCCACGATGACCTCCATCCTCCTGCCTCATCCTCTTAGGTGCTGAGCCAATAGGCATGAGGCACTGTATCTAACCAGCAGCTGGTGATGCCGCCTGCCTGTGGCATGGCAGGACCTTACCTTCCTGTGCCTGGAGGGGGACCTGCGAAGCCGACCGAGTGCTGCCTTTGCTCTTCCTCCCGGCCTGGCTGCTCAGAGATGGGTGGGTCTGCAACTTCCGGGGGGCCTTGGAGCCTCCGGGAGCACCATTCCCCACATGCCTGGCACTGCCCGGCTCTGAGGGGTGCCTGTGGCTGGAGCCATTTGGCAGTAGTGGGGTGCAGCCTAAGGGATTCCCCTGAGGCTGGCCTGGAGGGATGAGGAGAAAAGGTGATGAGGAAAGAATGTGCTGCCCTCCAGTGATCAGTTTGAACCCTGCCTACTTCATTCTTGGTTACACCTCAGGGCAGCGAAGGCAGGTTTGTGTCCTTCACATGGAGAAACTGAGGCCCAGAAAGCAGAAATGACTAGCCCAGAGTGACACTGTAGAACAGTCTCAGACTGGGGCTCAGCTCCCAACTTCCATGGCAGTCCTCATTCCAGAAAAACAAGAACTCAAACCAAAGGTACAAATCAGGGGTGAAATCTGTTCTCTTGTTTTAGGCTCTGGGATCCGGGCTAGAGTAGTGGGGTCAAGGCAACACGGTCGGGTGACACAGTTATCTGGAGCTGCTTAAGGCAGCAATGAATCAGTTAAACCTTCACCTGGGCCTCTGCCAAACCCCCAGCTGTTTTCGCCCTTGGTGCTGCTGGGTGACTTATTGGGAACATCTGTTTGGAGACACATGCTTGGCCCTGGATGAGGGCCCCTCACGAAGCCCTTTATTTTCTCCTTCTTCTTCTTCTTCTTCTTCTTCTTCTTCTTCTTCTTCTTCTTCTTCTTCTTTCTTCTTCTTCTACTTCTTCTTGTTTTCTTTTTTGTTTTTTGAGACAGGGTTTCTCTGTGTAGCTTTGGAGCCTATCCTGTCACTCACTCTGGAGAGCAGGCTGGCCTCGAACTCACAGAGATCCGCCTGCCTCTGCCTCCCGAGTGCTGGGATTAAAAGCATGCGCCACCAACGCCCGGCTTATTTTCTGCTTCTTGTCCTCAGCCTTGCATAATCCCACCCTATCCTGTTGCTGTGGGCAGAGAGGGCTGAGGGCTCCTGGGTCTAGGTGATGGGGGTGGGGCAGGAATAGGAGAAGAGCTGGTGGGGAGAGAGACCTCTGTAAAGGCCAGTCACCCTCCTAGGCTAAGCAACCAATTTCAGGAAGCTGAGCCTGGGGGGGCCCCCCCCCCCCCCCCCCCGCAATCCTCAGATGCTCTCCAGAGCTCACTCAAAGGATGCTCAATGGAGTGGCTTGGAACTAGTCTCAGGAGGTGCCGGTATCTGTGTGTTATGGTGGTAGGGTGTAAGAAGGGGTCACAAGAGAATGCCTTCTGCAAACATGGGATGATTCTACCCTTTAGCTGGGTCCTGGTGCCTCACTTCTCCAGGCTGACTTGTAGATTTACATTCTACAGGAGAGAGATGTCAGGTGCCCTTGAGTGCTCAGGAGAGAGGAAGGTGGCCTTAGTGCACCTCTGGTCTATGTGGGCTGGACACTTGTGTTCCAGCCTGTCACTGTCCCCTTGAACAATCTGTGTGCTGGCCAGTCACTGTCCCCAATATTTGCTAACTGTTTTCTCATGGAATCCTCTTTTGTAGCCAAAGCTGGACTCAAATTGGCTATGTAGTTGATGACCTTGGATGTTCAAGTCCCTGGTCCTCCTGTCTCCACTTCCAACGTACTGGGATTACTGATGGAGACCACCCTTTTCTTACTGATGAGGAAACAAAGTTCCAGAGATAAAACTAACCTGAGATTCTGAGCTGGGCTCAGGACAGAGAGGCAAGGGGTGGGGCAAAGGCTGGGAACCGAGGGGTTTGCATAGTCACTTCTTATAAGTAGTAGCTAGTTAGCATGTTTAAAGTGGGTATTAGGGGCAAGATGCTGTCATGGCTAGAGCCTGCACCTGGCAAACAGAAGCAAAGCCATGGGAGTGGCCAGGCCTGAATCACACTGGCTCTAGGGAAGATTGGTTGAGTCTTTGGCCAGTTTCACTGTCCCTTGCCCTGCTGCCTAAACATGGGTACAGTGGCCAGAGGGAGGGAATCTGCGGTGAGCCTAGGGCCCTGGGAGGTACTGCAGACACAAAGCTCTCCTGTGGCCTCGGCTGTGGGGTGGCCAAGGGGTGGGGGTGGTGTTGAGTCACAGTGCAAACACTCAGGGCCACAGACACAGGGGTGTCTGTCCCTCTCTCACCTAGGGCCCCTTCCCTGTGGCCACGGCCATGACCTCCTTTTCTCAATTTTGTATGTGTGCATGTGTGTATGTGTGTGTGTGTGTTTATGTGTGTGTACATGTGTATGAGTGTGTTTATGTGTGTATGGGTATGTGTATGTGTGTTTATGTGTGTGTATATGTGTATGAGTGTGTTTATGTGTGTATGTGTGTATGGGTGTGTGCATGAGTGTATGTGTGTGCATGTGTGTTTGTGTGTGTATGTATGTGTGTGCATGTATGTGTTTATATGTGTATTTGTATATGTATGTGTGTATGTGTGTGTATGGGTGTGTGCTGAGTGTATGTGTGTGCATGTGTGTATTTGTGTGTGTATATGTGTACGTGTGTGTGCATGTATGTGTTTATATGTATGTGTATATGTGTGCATGTGTGTGTATGTGTACATGTGTGTATGTGTGTGCATACGCATGTGTGTGTATCTGTTTTTGTGTATGAGGCTGAGGACACTGCTCTCACAGGAGTCAAGAACCTGACTTCCAAGCTGTCCAGTTTGGCCTGCGATGCCCTCGCTAGAGGTGCAGAAGGCGCATTATTTCTGCCAACAGAGCAGGTGGACATAGCAGAGTGCGGCCAGGAGGCTTGAGTACCTCTTGTGTCCTGATCTGGTCTGGGTCTGTACCTCAGTTTGCTCATCTACAGAAGAGGCTTGATGAGCTATGGTGACGCCAGTCTAGGGAAGCACTCAAGCTCACTAAAAGACAGAATTTCCAGCACTATCATGGAAGGCAGCAGTTGGTTATGGTAAAAACAACCCAGGCAGCCCTTGTCCAGCTCCCAGGGTGCTGTGGAGACCTCCAGACAGGCCTGGTAAAGAAGGTGAATTTAAGCTGGGCGGTGTTGGCACATGCCTTTAATCCCAGCACTCTGGAGGCAGAGGCAGGTGGATCTCTGTGAGCCTGGTCTACAAAGCGAGTTCCAGGACAACCTCCAAAGCTACACAGAGAAACCCTGTCTTGAAAAACCAAAACCATAAATAAATAAATAAATAAATAAATAAATAAATAAAATAAAAAATGAATTTTGTTCCATTCTCCCCAGAGCATCTGGGGATTCTTCCTCTCCTTTGCACCCCAGCATCCCTCCCAGCGTACTAATTCTCTTTCTTATAAGCAAAGGGTGCCTCCTGTCCTGCAGCCTCAAGCTGTATTGCCTGAAGCCTGGCCTCTTCCAGGGTAGAGAAGGAGAGAGCTGCTGCACCTGTACTTCCAACAACGTATCTGGGTTGGATTTCTGAGGGCAGCCCTTGCTTGTTGCCACCCCAAACCCCAGTTCCCTGAGACTCACACGTCACAGCTTCTGTGGGGACATCGAGGTCAGTGCTGTTCAGAGCCTGGTGAGCCCCGGGACCACTGTCTTGGGGCATGGATGTTACCACCTCCTCCTCCGGGGAGCCCTTTTCTGAAGATGCCTCTGTAGGAAGAGTGGATCCTGCTGCTACCTCCAGCCCAGGGAGGAGGGACATGGTCTGGGCTAGGGAAAAGCAGATTATGACAGACTGTTTTCTGGCGTCCTCTTGTCCTGCAGGCCAGACCACTTGATGAGCTCCTTCCTCTGGTCCCTTCACGAGTCACCCAGCTACCACCTGATCTGGCTGTGGTGTTTCACTTCCCAGTGGAAAGTTCCATATGTGTACAAGGGTATGTGGGCATGGAAGTGTCCCTGGGTGAGTGCACACATGTGGCATCAGGAGGAGGGGCCTATGTATAAAGAGAGGTAGGGAGAAGAGAGGCACACAGTGCGGGCAGCCATGGAGAATGACAGGCTACAGGGTGGATGCCAAGAAAAGAGAATTCAGGAGATTGGGTGGGAAAGGCAGAGCAGCTGAGACCTGGTGACAGGCTGTCTGGGACCAGCAAGAAAGTCAGTCTCGAAGACTAGACAGGGCCTGGGCTGACCAGAGCAGGAAGCTGTTGTGAGACAGGAAGAAGGCAGATGTGGGGAAACTGGGTCAGCGAGGGGATGCTGGCATGGAGAGGAGAGCAAGCACAACCTGGGGGTGAGGAGCACGGAGAGGCCAGGCAGGAGGAGAGGCCAGGAGACAGCCAGGAGCACTGAGGAAGAGGTGAGCCACAGTCCCGTGTAATTAGAGTGGCTCTGGGCAGGGTAGGCGGAATGAGGGAATGAGGCCACCTTCAAACCACAGCTCCCTGGGCAGCAGGCATCAGGACTAGGGCCCCTTGGGCTCCCAGGAAAGGACAGGGGATGTGAGGTGTCTGAGAGCCCACAGCCTCAGCCTCTGGGTAAGCAGACCCCAAGCTGTGCTGAGCAGTGGGATAGCAGTGGTCTCAGAGCATGGCCTCTCTACCTCTGTTTCCTTCCTACTTCTCGTGCTGAGAGAAAGGAGAAACAGAAGCAAGAGGCTCCAAGAGAGGCAGACACCAAAGGCAGGAGGCAGGCTACATAAATGAGGGAGGGGAGGTGGAAGAAAACAGAGTGATGCCCAAAGATGAGAGACCAGCATCCAAGTCACTCTGCACACACCAGAGAAAGATGGAGAAATGGAGACAAAGAATCGTCCTGCAAATGGAAATAGTTCCATTACAGAGAACAGAGACGAACTCACATAGATGTCCTCTGAGCTGTTTTCAGATGGGAGAGGGAGAGATGACAGCCGTGGAGGAAGATAAGCAAAGCTGTCTGTGAAGATGTGGGCACTTGGATCTGGGGTTCAGAAGCTGGAAGTAGGCTTGGGGTGCTCCAGTGTCCAGCTACCTCGCTGGCTGCTGAGCCTGAGACCCTGTTAACAGCCCCTAGTTCCCCTTGGCCATGTGGACAGAGATCCCAGAAGCCTATTGGGTAGCACAGAGGACTGTAGGCCCAAGTAGGCATGCTTCTGTCTGCCCGGGGCAAACCATGGGCCCTACCTGCAGATAGGAGCTGGGGCAGATAGAAGGAGGTGCAAGGGGCCAGAAGGGCAGAAGGCTTATGTGTTAGGTCCTTGCACAACAATACCAACTCAAAAAAAAAGTTGCAGCAGGGATATTTATAAGGTTTGATGAGGAAGAGGGTTGGGAGTGTATTTCAGTTAAAGCACTTGTTTGACATGAAAACAACAACTATGGTTGCTACTCTCAGCACTGCCAAAAACCCAAACCCCAAAACAAAACAAACTGTGCTAGCTTTTTCACCTCACGGGTGATGCCAATGGGGTGTGGCACCACTTACCTATAATCTCAGCACTAGGGAGTCAGATCTCTCTGAGTTCAAGACCAGCCTGGTCTACAGAGTGAGTTCCAGGACAGCCTGGACTACACAGAAAAACTTTGTCCCAAAAGACAACAACAACAACAACAACAAAAAAAAAAAAACCCACAAAATTTAAAGGCCTATAGGTAGGGGTGTGTGTGTGTGTGTGTGTGTGTGTGTGTGTTTGCCTGTATTTGCACACATGTCAGAGGTACCCTGGAGAAGGCAGTACCCACTGACGGCAGTATCTTGGGGGAAGGTTGTTTGAGAAGAGCTATGGGAACCAAGACCCCAGAGCCACCATCTTGGTGGGATGAGGGAGCATATGCCATTCCATGCTATTGAGGCTGGGAGCCTGGGATAGCAGTGGGTTTCCCTGACTTTCTCTTGAGGTCACAGAGTGCACAGCTCTGTATAGGCAGAGTCAAGATTCCTGCTCTTTTGACCCCCCAGGGCTTGAGAAGAAGAAAAACAAGAAAGAGGGTTTAAGGAGATGAGAGTCTCTTTGCTGTGCCTTTCACCCAGGTGTCTCTCCTAACAATCACTACAAGGCTGGTGGTCTTGAGCCTGAACAGAACAGAAAATTCTAGAGAGACTGGACTGTGGCCTGAGGAAGCTGGTCCTGTAGGAAGTTTGCCATTCTAGGACCATGTCCAGTGGTTCAGCCCGGACACCGAGGGCCAGACCTCCTGAAGCTAGGAAGGTCACATTGTGGGCCAGAAGGTGGGGACAAAGCAGGTGCTCAGAGACAGGCCAGCAGAAGTGGAAGGAAAAGGCAGAGTCAGGAAGACCTGTCTGCCCCAGGGATGCTGCCCTAGAAGATAGGACCCCAAGACACAGGCTTAACAGCACTTGTAGGATGGGTGGGACAGAGGAGCCAGTGTACAGATGGGCAGAGGACTGGCGGCAGATCAAGAGGGTAAAGAGCCCAGTTTTCCTTCTCTGACCAAAAGACTCCACCATCCCCACCATGGAAAAGAGAGCATCTCTAAGGAGGGTATCCTGAATGTGAGTGTAGAAGTTGGCAAAGGCCAGAAGGAAACACTGTGGGCATGCATAAAAGACCCCACTGAAGGCATGGGTGAGGAGGGGAAGATGCCCCAGCTGAAGTCTTAGCAGGTGCCATCTGGCCACCCAGCTGTACCAGAGTGACACCATTCTTTAATTTACACAGTGACCTCAAACACGCTAGTGTCCTGCACCCCTGGTGAAGTCCAGACAGGAGTCACTTCAGCACATGCTTATCCCTAAGTGGGTCAAGGCTCTGGCCTCCGTGCCTCTCTAGAAAGGAGTTGAAAGAACATACTGAAATCCACACGCCCCACGGAAAGTTTGGGAAGACTCACACCAACAGCAGGGACCCCGTGGACTCCCTCTGTCTGTTATCCTCCAGGCTGGGGGATGGTTCTTGGCCAGGAAGGAAGAGGAGAACCTCTTCCAGGTGGAATGGGTTCACTTCAAGCCTGGCCAGTTTCCATGTTCTGGGGCTCCAAGTTCAGCCCCCAGCATTGTCTTTGTGGACCGTGAATCTGGGTTCCCTGCCCCTTGGGCTATGACTGTCTCTGGAAAGAGAAGACCAGGACTTCAGACTAGAGAGTGGTGGCTCAAACCTCACACTCACTCTCAGCCTGACCAGATATCCAGGGCCTCTGTCACACATCTTCAATCAATGTACAAAGGTCTTGTGTTCCAGGCAGACTAGCCTGTCCAGGCCCCTGGGCCATCACAACAGCTTCTGGCCAGACTACCTGTGCTTACATAGTTCCTCGTGACCACACTGCTGCCCGTCCTCCCTGGTCCTGCAGCCTCATCTCTTTCTTCAGAAAGCCTTCCCTGACACCTGTGGTATCAGTCTGTCCTCCACACGCCCTGTTACTGACAATCAGACAATGAACTGCTAGTTTCTCCTTCAAACTGGACTCTCGTCCATCCCTTTTGGTGTCAGTATTTACCTCTGCATGTCTGTGGCTGAGTGCTGGAGTTCAGAATGCCCCAGGTTAGGGGGAGGAGAAAGAAGGTCCACATCCAGGATTATGGATGGCATCTGGCTTTGAAGCCCAAGGAAACCAGAGAAAGGGGACTATTTTGGTGTCCTTCAGAGACCCAGGCCACTAACTGGAGGACTGGAGAGGATATGAGCTGCTGGTTATGTCCAATCCAGTTGTTTTATTTTAGGTCCAAGGGCTCCAGTTCCCAGGAAATTGAATTTAGAGCCATGGCTAGAAATGTGATGCCCCAGTGCTAGGCAGAAATCTTGTGGGTTAGGGAGCCAGGCTCTTGGGGCTCTCAGGAATGGGTGGGGTAATGGCCAGGGGTTAGAGTCAAGAGTGTGAGTACTTGGCCACCTGCCCTAACCACAGCTGCTGAGTCCTCTTGTGCCCTGTCTATATCTTGGATGCCTGAAAGCAGAGGCATGTCACACCCTGGCTGTCCTGCCAGCAGCTTCCACTCTGGGGACAGTGCTGTGGTCTCCCTGTTCTGTGGGCACACAGGGAGCATGGGGGGGTTCTGGTCTCAGGGTCAGGCGTCTGTGAGGTTTTTGGCTGAGTCTCCTGCGGTTTGGGCTTCCTGGGTAGCAGGCAGAACAGTCCAGAACAGGACAAGTGTTACAAAAGCCACATTGTCTGGCCCAGTTCAGGCTGGGGAGGGGGCTTGCTGGGGGCCTCAAATTACAGCCCAGGACTAACCCTTCCCAGCAGCTCTCCCTGGACTCTGCAGCCTGTCTTGAGCACACTTTGCTCCCCTCCTCTGCCATTGGGTGGAGAGCAGGTCAGACAGGGGAGGGGGTCTTGGATGGAGATATCAGAGGAGAGAGCCGAGAAAATGAATAAGAAGGAAGGAAGCATGGAAAAGTGGGAGTGGGAGAGAAGCCAAGAGAGACAGAGAAAGTTCCCAGACACAAAGGACTCCCAGCCCCCTATTCCCTGTTGTCCTTCCAAGCTGAAGGAACCTAGTCCTTGGTGGAGCATATTCCCCAGAATTCTAAGTCCTTGTATCAAGGGCTCTACCAGGACAGGGATTTAGCACTGGTGCAGACAAGAACACAGACAGACTTGTCTCCATTGGCCAGACATCCCTGGGGTTTTGGAGATCCTCCACCTTTACAGTTATGAGGGGCCAGGCCAGGCAACTGAGACCATTCCCAAACAGACAATTCAGCTAGGGTGGCCAGGCTGGGGGTGGGGCTTGGGAGGTGGGGGTGGAGACTGAGGCCCGAGAAGGGGAAAGGACTTGTCTAAGACCATGAGGGGAGTTTGAGGTCCAGGCTTGAATATTCATTACTGAAAACAATCGGGGGTCAGGGGAGAGGGGAAGGGAGCGGTTAATTTGGTGGGAGGAAGGCAGGGCTTCTGACCTAGCCAGAACAGGGGTTTAAGTTAGAAAACCTGGGTGGACACTTTTGCTGCCTCCCAACCAACCGAATCTGGACTTCCATAGAGCCTTCCTATGAGGAAGCTCTAGACTGTGAGGACAAGTAACTGGGAAGCTAAACAGAGCCACCCTCCACATCCTTCTTCAGTCTGTACAGTCCAGGGAGAATCAGGGTGGTTTAGCCTCTGAGGTGGGGGAAGGGACCTTTTACTACGTTGCAAATAATGTGTGTGTATGTGTACCACGCTGGGTAGGAACTGAGGGGAGGGAACCGCAGCTAGCAAGGAGAGACGGGGCCAGGGGCCAGGTTCGTAGCCACTAGTTGCGGAAACAAAAGTTTTCAAAAAGAGCTCGAGCTACACTACACTCTGCTTAGTTTGGGGGAAGGAAGAAGAGAGATTCAGACACCGCCCCCCTCCCGCCACACACCCCCTCCTAAGGCCCTCATAAATATTTACACACTGGGCAGAAATGGTTGGGACACAAATCCCAATATTACGGGCAGACACCACGGAGTGAGTGTGTGTGTGTGTGTGTGTGTGTGTGTGTGTGTGTGTGTGTGTGTGTGTGTGGGGAGGGGGGGGTGGGGGG